GATTTATAAAGTAACTGTACACAACAGCTTATGATGTAAATATGAAATACATCACTACCAGTCTCTAACTGCCAATTTTACACAATCCCTTGAAATACCCCTCCTTCATTTCTCATATTTTATGCAATGGAAAATTATAACATTATGTATCTAGCAAAACCCTTTGAAATGTGTAATTTAAAGTTTAAACAAACTTTCAAAAATATTTTTCATTTAACAATATTAAAAAGAATGAACATGATGATAAAGCTTCAACTTATTACATGTATGCTTTCACCACAGACATACAATTACCCCCACTCATGTGAAATATTTTGAATAATTTGGAAAGGATACATTTTGATTCTTCCAGTTTTAGTTCCAATGGCCAGCAGTTTCAGCTTTGGATCATAGGCCATACATGATGGTTTACTTGGAAATCCATGATCAAGACACTGAAACAAAAAACAACAGATTTTAAATAAAGCCTTTCATTTTCTCTACATTATTCTTACATGATGACTGTATTATTCTACCGTAGATCTATCTCTCTGAACATTTACTCCATCACTATGCATAGCTCTGATGAATGCCCAGGCTATATCATTATACCAACATATTTGCAAGCCATTTTCCAGTTATTATGTATAATACATGGAGAAAATCTATAAGTAACATTTGTAAAACCTACGTGATTACGATCCAGTCAAATGCTTAATGCAACACCTGTTTTCATTGCTGTTGGAATTATATTATGCGTGTCTGTGATGCTGTGATTAGGTGGGATTTTCCGAACTGAACAATGTCAAAGACAAGAGAAGATAGGTTTTCTTTTGAAACACTGATGTCACATTTATATATTAGCTAGCTCATCAGTTATGGTTACCCGGTAGTTTTTGAATTGTAAAGTCAAAGGTCAAGACAAAAATATTTAGAAGTATACCAAGAGAGATCTTATCACAAAAAATACAAATGTGAAATACGAAAGTCGTAACACCAATTATAAACTGTTCAAAAGACTTGACAAAAGTTTTTCAAAGTAAAAACTCCGATGTCAAGGTCAAAAGATCAAAAATTTGTTTCTTCAGATACACCAACAGAGTCCCAGAATTTCAAATGATGTGGGCAAAAAAATCATCCCAGGGGCTAATTAATCATGAAGTTAAATGTCATATTCTGTGTTCTTTTGCCACTCTTATCATGGTTATTTTTCTCTGCTTCCTATTCTATTTAAATTAGAATCATTGCACAAATAATGTTATTTTCATAAGGATCTGTTGAAGCTACTAGATTGCTTTTTGGGACAATCTAAGCAAAACTGATTTAAGAGTTTAGAACATAAGATTCAGTGGCAAAAATTATCAAAGACTAATTGAATCGGCTTCCAACGTTATAAAATGTTACTGAGTTCCAGATATTTCAGTGTTTTATCAATGGATACATTCTTGAATATGTTTATCCCAATCTATGGAGGGGTTTTCATAAACAAGTGTCCTTGTTTCACGGATGAATTATTAATAATGCCATAGAGAACAGATGACACTCCTCTTTAGGAAGGAATGTTTATATAAATCTTGTTATGTTGATAATGTTCAAAGTAAGCTTATATGGGGGTGTACAAGAATGCATTTTAAATGAGACAATTTCAACAAAATTTTATGGATAGACAATAAAAACCACATTCCAAGATGATGAAGATATGCAACATATTGATAAATAGATGCATTTTCATATCATAAGGATTTTTGAAAACAGAATTAAAATAAAACAAATACTTTAATAAAACAGATAAAACTCATAAAAAAGATCTATAGAATAGATCTAACTGCCAATATTTATACCATGTACTGTAGATTCCTAACAATCTATTTTTGTGATATAAATTTAATCATGCAACAGGTGCGTTATTCACATTCAACATTTAGGGTCTATAGACAATAAAGCCACAAACAAGTCCTTTGTACTCTCAGCATCCATTTAATTTTATTGTTTCATTACGAACAATTAACATTTAACTAAATGCAAAGACAAATCCGAGGATGCTGCACACTATTTTTGTACGGTCGAGTGATTATGACTCATCCTTCAGCCATTCAAAAGAAAATGTGCAACATGGCTGCCTACATAGATAAATAAACTCACCCGCCGGTATCCGAATAACTCCTTCTTCAACTGACTTCTCTCCTCACTCTCTTTTGGAGGATGCTTCCTGAAAATTTTAAACATCCTGCGTTCCTGGTTTAAAAAACGAAACAAACAATGCCGGCGTGATGCTACCTCGAACAAGGGTTCAAAAATCGATATACGAATATCGCATTTTCCCGAAAAGAATATTTTATCAATCGTAGGTAAAAAATACAAATTCACGTCCAGATTTTAACTTACCTTTTAAAAATGTGAAATGATGTGATATAATCCAGGGTATATTACAGATTCTGTCCAATAGCCCGCGCTGTATAATCAAACTTTAGACAACCCTGCCCCCTTTGACCTCGTTTGAATAAATCCTTCCGCGTCTCATGATTAATACCTAAAAATACATTTTAGATTGATTCTTTAGAAAATCCTTTACAAATATAAACATTCAAAAATTTACTTTGATTTTAAATTCAGTAAACTGTCAGTGAGATGAAGGAAAAGATGAGATTATTTCCATACGGCGCACTTGTTTTCAAGCCGTAAGAATTGAGTTAATCGTCCCGACGCGTCTGAAAGATTACACGTGTGAAGAAAGACCACAGGGTGTCAGATACAAAGAATAATAAATGTATCAGTGTACACGGGCGGCGTACACGCATTAAAAGAAATAGACTTTTCATTTGAGGGGGGAGCAACCATCCTACCCTTGTAGGGAAAAATCTTTTGCCGAGTTATTTTGTTAAAATCATCTTTATTTACGGTTTTTAAAGCCCCCCCCATTGTTTCTGTCGAATATTAAAAAAGAACCCCATCACCATGAATTTAATTTCTAATTTACTTGCATTTTTGCAACAATTTTAAAATGTTTATAATTAAACATTTACTTATGGTCTTCCAACTTTTCGGTACTGCCTCTGAAATATGGCATTTCTTTGGTCTATTTTGCGCTACCTCAAAACTATTTGAAAAAAGCAACATATAAATTATTATTAGATACTGTAACTTCCGAATGGCTGGTAAACAACTGAATCAAGTTGTTGCTTATTTGAAATGATCTTTAAGGGGGTCATTAGTCATTTCTCATTAATTCGCTTTGATTTGATTATGAAAGAAAATTCAAGAAAATTGTTTCTTATAGTTAACATAAAATTTTATCAAAGTATATCCGATTAATGCTTACAAGAGGAATATGCAAAGACTCATAATTCATCAAAACTAAAATTTTACCAAGTTGTTTTTTTGATAATTTCAAGCGCTATGGATACAGTGATATATGAAAGAGCGAACAGAGAGATCAATTATTAGCAGGTTGAGATTTAGTGCACATAATCTTGCCATAGAAAAAGGAATTAAGGCATTGGTCAATACCAACAGATAAATTTGTAAAGATTTTCTAATATTTGCAACATAGGCCTAGGGGAGATCGAAAATGATTTTCATTTTCTCTATATTCACTCAATCATAGGTAACGTTAAATTTTGAAAGGAACGTGATGATTTTTTTTTCTCAGAAAAAATACTCAGATATGTTTTATGCTAAAAAGCTAAATGCTTTACTTTAATAGGCAATGTCCATAGATATTTAAATTAACATATATATCTAGAAATAAAAAGTAGCTCAAACATGGAATCATTGTTGGTTAAGTCAATGAGTTAAATTTAAGGGGGAGGGGCCTTTTTCAATGAATTCGTTCAAAAATGAATTAAGGCTATAGATATCTTTAGAAAAGAGTCCCCCCTCTGTTACTAAACAAAATTTACTCCTATGTATATATGTTTGTTTTGTGTTGGGGGGGGGGGGGGTTATTACACACAGTCACTTGAGTATAATACAGCCTCTAAAGGATCTGCGGAATTATACTAGTATATAATAAAGCAAAATAAACTAATGGAGGAAAATGTATATGTTCAATTGCACTTGCTCAGAAACAGAAAATGGTTATCAAAGGTCAACAAATCAGTTGTTTTTGCAACTCCGAAAGTATAGATTTATAATTTTCTTGTCCTACTTAGGCCTACCAGTATTGTAATAATATCATTTAAAAAAGCAACTGAAAAGCATAAAAACATATATGGCACTTGAAAACATTTACACAACCATTTCTAGCGATGAATTAAAGACAAGGCTTTGTGACGTTATAAACAAAAGCTGGATTAAAGATGGAACTTGTTATTAATTTTTTTTTCTTTCTCATTGGTCATCTACAAGTTGAATTTAAGTTTACTTGTTGAAAACCAGTTTGTTAAAAATTTCACAGGTTATCTTTAGAAGAAAATGTTAACCAGCAACAATGCCTTCCAAACTTTTCACAAGTCTGTAATTTACTTATTTTATGTACATAGCAAATTTTCTTAGAAAGATAGACGGAAGAATAGGGACATCAACCTGCGACCAAAGCTTCCTTCAGGCCCAATTAAATTATACAGCATTATTTTTATCAACTTGAAAATAAATATTCTCTTCTGTAGGAAATGAAAAAAAAAACATCAGCACTCCCCAACAATTGAACCATTGCTACGTCATGACATGGTGGCGCTCCAAAGGTTTTTGACGATGACACAATGACATGACGTCATAATACAATTGCTTTGCAACAAGACGAGAAGGTAAGTGTTTATATGCAAAATCGATTTCTACTAGTTTATTATTTAAAAATTGCATTTTAAACTCGAACAAATACTGGCGAATTGAGGTTATTAAATACTTAATAATAAGATACTTTTTAAAAGATAAATCCCCTTAAAATTATGTTTTTAAACTGATTTATGTAGGCCGTATATAGGCAATTATAATATTTATCATGACGTCATAATAACGTAACGTCTCAGAGGGTCTTTGACGATGACCTTGTGACATCACAATAACATTTGTTTGCAACCAAAACAAAAGAAAGGTGTACAATGTGAGTATTACAAATTTGAAGAATGCAGCAAATATACGAATTGGTTTACTCACGGTTGAATAATACCACTGTCTCTTTTTCTCGGGGGAGGACCTGCTGGCAATGCTGGCGATTTATTAATTTGATTTGAGTATTTTCAGTGCATTTCTCCAATATGCATACATGTATAGATATTGAAAAAGTGCAAGACATTAGCACACCGCACGGTCTGACTCTCTATCTGAATAGCACATAGGAGCCAAATTCTTTATATTAAAATATATATAACTCTCATGCAACTTTTAAATCTGCATTTAGTAAACACGTTCAGTATCCAGCGAATAATTCTTAGACTTAGACAAATGCTAAAAGGGGGGGGTATTAATATTAAGAAACAGCATGTAGCCATTTACAAGTATTTTGATAAGCATTTATATGTATCAAAGTTCTATTTCATGTCCACATTTTATCACAATTAAATTACTAGTATTGTGTTTACTTTTAATTTTTGATCATAACAATAAATATTTACGAGTTGTGATTTTTCTTATAAATTTCAGAATGGCATTTGAAATAGATTACAACGAAGTGTTAGATTTTGGCGAGGAGGCGGTGAAGAGTGTGGTAAGATTTTTTGTTTAATCCACAATCTGTAAAAGAGACCCCCTAGTTCTTACCTTTATATGAAAATTGCATTGTGTATACAATGTATCATCTATACTATTATTATATATTTAATACTAGAATTAATTCATCTACAGTTTATTCTCATAAAAAAATCTGGATCTAATAAATTATTCTTTCAATAATGAAGAACCCTTTATTTTTATATGCATCATATCCTAGTTATTTCATGTGTTATAAACATAATCGTGCATGTATGTATATATAGGCTTTTCAATTTAAAGATCATGAAATTTAAAACAAAAAAATGATACTGATCATGGAATTGCATGCACCGATTTTTTTCTCTATCAACCTAACTTTTTTTTAAGGATGAAAAGATGAAAATTTTAAGGTTTGCCTATAACTGGGCTGATGTGGTGGTTCCAAAGGAAGAGAAACAAGAGGTATTTTGATTGAAGTACAGTAATCTCAACATTTATACATCTTGCTAAACAAGATTTTCATATCGTAAAGATTTGGAATAAGTAGAAACTTTAAAATGTTTTTTAATGGAGATGCTAAAAAGACAATATTATTTGTTTGCAGACAAAGATAGCAGCGAAAAAACGGGATCCTCAAATAATGCTAAAGCACACGCACAAAAAACGAATGGTAAGAAAAAAGAATTACGCACTTTTAAAATTTGTTAGTTAAAAAAGCCTCCTAGACCTTTTCCATTTGTATATAAAAACGTGTTCATGTTGATTTGCAGAGGGAAATTGAAGACAAAAGGAAACACCAGCTGAAATTAGACCAGGTGCATGAGGAATTGTTGGTAAGCATATTTAGAATAATATCCATATAGAAATATGATCAGTGCGTGATAAACACACACTTTTTAAAATCAAAAATCCATTATTTAAGTAGAATTATGTGCCATTTGTTTTATTACAGAAAGTCTTCAATGCTAAAGGAAAAGAAAAGGAAAGGACTCAAGGGAGAGATCCACAAAAAATCTTGAAATACAAACATAAGATACTTATGGTAAGAAATCACACTCAAACAGACAAGTATACAAATATTTTTATAAAAAAAAAAGAAAATAAGATTTTTAAACATCTAATATCAAGCCATGTTGTTTTTTTTTTCTTTGCAGAAGAATATTGAGTTGAAACAAACGACTAATACATTGATCCTGGGTACATACAGAGAAATACTGGTAAGAAAACAACGAATTTCTCTATAAATACTCGGTAGATCCTAGATGTATGCAAAGTGCAGTAGTTTTCATGATCAGAAAATATTATATTTAAAAACATTATAGTGACCGTAATTTTTTTCTTTATAGGAAAGAAATGAGGCCAAGAAAAGGCATACAGGTCTGCTGAAAAATATCCACAATGAACTATTGGTAAGGACACACTTATATTTTACATGTGCATTGCTATAGCTGATGTAGACAGTCTTTACACCAGACTTTAAGTGTAAACTTCTGTAAATAATAAGAATTAAAAATTTTATAATAAGAATTGAGTATAACAAATTCTTATTTTGTGTCGCATTCAAACTTCTCTTCTTACAATTTAGTCTAAGAATTTAAAGAAAACGGAAGAAAAGACGAGTACGACAGAAAAGAGAATGGTTTCAAGTACATTAAAGGTACAATTAAGATATAGATAATACAAATCATTCATTCATTTCATGCATATTTTTTCCTGACATAGCCTACATATATTGTTTTTATTTATAGAAGAATATATTTCATTTCAGGTTTTGGCAGACAAGGGGAGGCAATTAATTGATAGGATAATGAAGTGTTTCCAATGGTTTTAGATTTAAAGAAAGTGACACACCCATGAACTTCATATTGTTTTTTTTATTAAACGTAATTAACCTTTGATCGAGTCTTTTCTCTTTTTTTTAAGCATTTATGAGGTATATTAAGAGATATGAAATTATGTTGTGGTCAATTAGGACCGAAGTTCAAAAGTTGGCTGAACTTAAAGGTTAAAAGGTCAAAATTATTAATGTCTGGGGCTAGGTCCTGTAACCAAAAAATACACATGTGAATTATACAATTCCTAGCACCAAGTGTTCAGATGTTATTATCAAGGTTATGGAATTTTATTAAAACTCATACTCCATGTTCAATTTAAACTGCTCAAAATTTTTGGTATCCAATGAAGGTCATGTCAAGAGAACTAATTATGTGAAATATAAAAGCCTTATTACTGCATGGTCAAGAATTTTGGAAAAGGTTAATAAAAAAAAAAAAAACTAAGCCAAGCTCTAAGATATCAGCCTCGTGGCAGAGTGCCTGAGAGTGGTTAGAGCGTCTGCTCTAGAGTTGTGAAGTAAGGAGTTGATCCTTAAGTCACAGGTTCGAATTCCACTGTAGGACATGAAGACCGGTCCTTTAGATGAGACCGTATAAACCAAGGTCCCATGTTGCAATAGAAGTTGACACGAAAAGGATCTCTCACTACTTAATGGCCCTCTTTGCTAAGCATAGGACAAAATTTGCAGCTCTCCACCGGCAAGTGATGGAGTGTCCATATTAGTGAAAAATTCTGGAGAGGGATGTTAACAATAAACAATTCATCAATCAGACTCTAAGGTCAAGATCATAAATTGTTGGTATCGAAAGTTGGGCTTTGTCACAGATAATATAGCCTGTTGAAATTTGACAGTCTTAGTTCCAATTGTTCAAAGTTATGACCTAGGTTATAACTTTTTATAAGTTTTATATAAAGTGTGTCAAACTCTAAGGTCAAGGACCCAAGGACAAAGATATTTACACCCAAGAAAAGGTCTTTACAATAAATACATATGTACATAATCATGTGAAGTTTAAAAGCCCTATCATCAATTATACAAAAGTTATGGCCAAGGTTTAAATTCGATGATTTTTTTTTGGGGGGGGGGGCCCAAAACACCAAGTTCATGGTCAAGAGGTCGAATACATTCGTACTCTATGAAAGGTATTGTCACAAGGAATAAACACATTATATATTAAAGCTGCACAGTTCCAACGATCAAAAGTTAAGGTCAAGCTTCAAGACTTTGTGGGAAAACAGTATCAACAGACAGAGAGTTTGACAGACGGATGATGGACAGGGCAAAAACTATATACAAAACCCCTAGCTGCGACTGTTCAGAAGTTATGGTCAAAACTCAGAATAAGGTAAAGTTTTGCAAAGGTATGTCAAACTCCACGGTCAAGAAAATATGTTGATACCCAATGAACTCAATTCTTGTTCCCTTAAAAGAATTTCCAGGAAGCCAAAAGAAACACAGACACAAATTTGTATTTTTCTGATTTATTTATTTTGAACAATTTATGCTGCATGATGTTTTCTTTTCTACAAAGCTCTGGAGTTAACTGTGCATGACCATTAAAATATACTTTTCTAACCATTTTATAACAATTAAATAACAAAACTGCAAAGAAATCGCAGCAAAATGGAATGATTTTCTGCCATGTTGAAGACATCTCACAGAATGATTATGTTAATAGAATTTGTGAAGAAGATCAAATGTTAATTTCAAAGTGAGGAAATGAAATAAATATGACTAGATCAAAGACACAAATGCAATTAAAAAAAATGTAGCACTGATATTTAAAATGTTTTATGAAAAAATACATATTCCAAGCTGTAAGCTGTGCATGTTTATATGATAACTTTTTGTCTCATTCAAAATGTAGACTTCAATGATTGATTTGTATAAAGAAAGTTTGTATACCACAAATGGTCATATTTTGAATATGTTTATCCCATAAATCTCCATACAAATATACCTATTTTTAGAAGAAAATTATTCGTAAAAAATTTAACCACAATGTTTAGAACAATTCAACATATATGTGAAGCCTGGAGTACCATATGACAGAAAATTATATCTGAATTTTTATACTAAGTTCACAGGCCACAGCACTCAGTTGTGTAAAACAGAATAAAAAGCGAAACATTTACAGACATGTACATGTACGGTAGGCAAACTACTATCAGAATGGTTACCCTATGTAACAGAATGATGGCATGGGTAAAAAAACAAACTTTCGAGTGGTTGCTAAAATGAACAGTTGATCATTGATGCTTTACTTGCATATTTTTAGTTTTCTAAAAATAATCTGAAGAATTCATTTTTTTCGAATTAAATAAAGTTTTGTATTTGATTGAATTTGATGATAAAAAATTATGCAGGTATTTATTTATTTCAGTATATAATTTAAAACATTTGGAGACAGTCATGTAAATGAACTGGTCAGGAATAACAACTACACAGAGTTCAAATGTATTCAGAACAGTTTGTATACTGTCACTGATGTTGATGTATATTTTATAAAATTTCACAGAGAAGTTTAATCCTGTTGAAGAATTTCCCTTGACAGATAGACAGGAAGACAGATAAATAATGGACAAAGTGATCTCGACAGGCAACACACACATACACACAAAAATACAGCAATACTGTGAAGCTTTTACCATCCAATGAACAGGACAGAAATCGTTAGCAATTTCTCTGCTTAGTAGACAATCATCTCTGTATGGTTTAAATGTGTACATAAAAAAGAGAGAAAATTTATGCAAAAATCTAGCCTTGTATAAAATAGAGTATAAAACTGGAAATCTATGAAAATTAATTTTTTCAAAAGCTACAAGTTCTCTATAATTCAGCTACTGGCACTACTTGTGTTAACTATCATTTTATTTTTTCCGCAATCCATCTGTTGGTAAAATCCAGTGAAAGACTGAAGATTTTTTATGCTTATCAAAACTGGTCCACCTAGAGTACCAAGTAACAATGTTTCATTGTAAAGAAAGTGAAAAATTTAAGCAAGCATTTGAAAGCTCGAAAATATCACTGCTTCAACAAATACCCAGGTTTTTAAAAAAAATATTTAATATTATAAATGCTGTTTAATACAGAAGTTTATGATTAAATACTATGTACTTTGTATTCTTATTTGACATAGATTAATAAGCACCAACTGGAAAAAAATCTTGCAAGTTTCATGTATATAGAACATGATTAATACCATACATCAAACATTATTTGTGAAATGAAAATATCTGTGTAAAAATAAAACATCTTTACAGTTTTTTAACAAGTGTATATTGAATAGATATGAAGGAACCTTGTCCTAATGGAATATCTTCTTTGTGATAACATGAGAAAAACAACATATGAATATCATTATGAATGAAAAGGCAAAAAATGCATAGTTTTCACCGAAGCTGTTTCTTTCTCACAGTGACTTCCCTTGATATGTTTTTACATTCAACAAAAAAAAAATCACAACACGGAAAAAATTGTGCCACTTCAATAATTCTAAAAGTACATGATCTTCAAATCCATAATAAAAACATCGGGCCTTTTCTACATTTCAATTAAATTAATTAAATTAATAAATATCAACTTTTCAAATTTTCCAGAATGGAATCAATCCAGTAGTACATGTAACATCCTGCAAGACTTGTCTCCTTTATAGTACAAAGAATTTCTCAAGTTCAAGCTACTGCTGACACAACATGGGCACACACTATTCTGTTAATCAAACAATATTTTTTAACACTGCATGGACAAAACTAACATGAAAAATAGTTCCTTTTGCTTATAAAAGTCAACATTAGCAAAATGAATATTCATGAGATCAGGATGCCATCCTTCCATCACCAATTTGTATATCTGGTGTTCCATGGAATTCATTGGTTTCCTCCAGGTCAATAAATAAACATGAGATACCATATAAGGATAAGTCCAGCTTACCACAGTTTCCATCACACGTGAGACAATATCAGTTCTACCCTTTGGATATCACAGAAAAACTAAAACACTGGCTTTTTTCTCTTCCACGTACGACATTATCGATTTGTTATTTCCAATATGGAGGGATTTTTTTCAAGAATGGTCAAAATAATTTTGTCCACGTAAGATTTTAGATTAATGTTCACAGTTTCCACTTCCTGTAGTCTTGTCATCAGCTGAAGAAGAAAAAGATTTTTTATAATTCTGATGTTCTTCAGTCATTTCAAATACTGGTAATGAATGAAATGGAAAAATCCAACAACTATTCTAAACTTTGATGAAACTAACGTAGCGTTAGCCTTGTAACTATATTTTGCAAAGCATTAATAATATCTTTTTACTTTGACTCTCCATTAATCAAAACACATTTTCCAGATTGCAAAATTATCTGCATGGACAAATCATTGCCCTGTTAATATTGAGGTCAGCTTAAAAATAGTAACAGACCTCCTCCTTGGTTAGATGCTCGAGTTCGGTGGCCAGGGACTTCTCTTTCGTATCGTTGACCAGGGTCTTTCCTTCGTTGATGCACCGAGTCAACAGCTGAGCATTTAGATCCTCGTTTAGATCGTGAAGCTGTTTATTTTCCTAAAATACAATTACAGACGTCAAAAATGGTTTAACATAATAATTGTTTTTGTTATTTATTGTCATACTACTTGTAATACAGAAAGTGGATATGATTATTTTTTTTTCCAAAAAAGGAAAGAACTTTTGTTTAGTATGTACATTTAGCTAAAATTAGTTTCTGAAGTTTTTTTTTACTGGAAAAGGAAAGAAAATCCTTGAAATGATTGAGAGAAGTTATCGATAAGAAGTGAAAAACATGCATTGCTTTTGCAGCATTTTTTTTTTACAAGCACTGTGGCACTAATTCAGATATAATATAGAAAGTAACTACAGTGGTGTTTGTACATGCTTTAGAATGCTAATAAATCTATTATTTCAAACTCTGAATATTTCTAATGAATTGCAGGTATAATTTCCAATCAATCCAAATTATTCCCTATATCATTTCAAATCAAAAGGCTGCTATTAAGTCGG